CCTCCGCCACTCCCACTGCCGCCACCACCGCCGCCACCTGCCCCTCCACCCCCACCACCACTACCTCCTCCACCGCCGCCCCCTCCACCTCCTCCACCGCCCCCACCACCGCCTCCACCTCTGCCACCCCCACCGCTCCTGCCTCCCCTACCCCTGCCGCTGCGGCGCCTCCCACTAGGGGCAGACGCAGCTCCTACCTCCTCAGCACGAAGGTAGTCAACAGCTGCAGCAGAGGCGACTGAGGGGAGAAGGGGGTAGGGCGAACACCCCTCAAAGAAGAGAGTGGGAGGAGTGCCACGAGAAGCACCTACAGCGACTATGCTAGTCTCAGCTGCTAGGAGGTGCTTCTCGAGGAGGTCGACAGTGAGGTCGGTGGGGTCAAGGGCGAGAAGGAGGTCCTTGACTGTGGTAAGAGAGTCACGGAGGCGGGTGACTATGAAGTAGAGTGTGATGTACATGGGAAGAGGGTTCTTGGCGAGAAAATCGGCGGGGAGCGCAGCACAGTAGCGAGTGTCACTAGTGCGGAGGTGAGTGACGAGATCAGCTACTGTTGCAAAGGCGGGCAGCTCTGGGAACAGGTAGGGCAGGAGAAGGCGGCCTAGAGCAGCAGTGGCCGGGGAGGAGTAACGAGCGACTACAGCGTCGTACAGTGCTCTAGCTGTCTTATGCTTGCCAAAGTGGGCGCGTTCGGCTAACGGCAGGTGGTTGCGAATGGCTAGGCGAGCAGCAGCGTCACGGGTAAGCCACTATGAGCGAGTCGCTCTGTCAGCTGTGGCGGCAGGGGCAGGCGAGGCGCCAGGCGTGAGGTCAAACAGCGAAATACCGTCCTTAGAGTCTATCAGCAGGAACAGCTGTAAGTCATCTAGCCACACATTGAACTCTATCGGGCGGCCCTCCGAATCGAAGGTGAGAACGTTGAGAGTGGCCATAGCGGGCAGAGCAGTCGGGCGCGCTACCAGCACGCAGGCAGGGCTAGGCAGGTGAGCGCGCTAGCAGCAGGGCAGCAGTGAGCGGCGCATGGTAGGGCAAGGCACGCACGGCAGGGCGGGGCGCGCGGCAGGGCAGGGCGCGCGGCAGGGCAAGGCGCAGCGCTCAGGTAGGGCGTGTGGGCAGGGCAGGGCACGCGGTTGCGCGGCGGCGCGGCGCGCGGGCAGGGCAGAGACGCGCGGCGGCGCGGCACGCGGGCAGGGCAAAGGCGCGCGGCGCGGCGAGCGGGCAGGGCAGGCGCGGTGCAGCAGGCGGCGCGCAACTCAGCAGGGCGCGCTGCAGCAGGCGGCGCGCGGGCAATGCAGTGCGCGCTGCAGCGGGCGGCGCAGGGCAGGGCAAGGCAGGGCAGGGCAGGGCAGGGTGACGCAGTGGCGCGATGGGTGGGGTTGCGCTACTCAGTGGGCCCTAAGATATCGGTCCTAGGCTAGGACCTGCTCTGAAACAAAGTCAAAAGAACGAACAAGAATGAATGAACTAGCAGCAGGATGGGTACAAGTAGAAAACCCAAATTGGGTTGTACCCCATATGGGCTACCCCACTACAGCCTACACAATGAGCAGCATATATGTTTAACAATGATGACGAGAGCAAATTGTGCAGCAGCATAGCATGGTCCATTGCCTCGGGCCTCTGTTGGTTGGGTAGCCGCATGCCACGTACCAGCTTGTGCATTGTGTTCTGGAGGGTCCTGTTCATTCTTTTTGCCACGCCTTGCTGGTGGTGAGCGTAAGGAAGAGAGATGAGTCACTTGATGCCTCTCTCTGGCAGGTACTGTTTGAACCGCTGTGACTGATATTCTCCTCCTCCGTCTAACTGGAAGCTTTTTAGCTTCACTCCTGATTCCCTTTCTACTACTGGAAGCCATGCGACGAAGGCTTCGAAGGCCATGTCGCGACTCGGAAGATTAAGATGCCTGGCGTATCTGGTGGCGGCGTCGATGAAGGTGATGACGTAGTTGTACGCTCCTTGTCCACTTTCACGAGCGTACAGTATGTCGGTGTAGACTTTCTCCAGTGGTGCGTACGCGGGAGCGCTTGGGCTGTGGTGAGAGACGAACGGCTGGTGGGGTAAGTCGGCTTCAAGACAGGTAAAACATGTCCCGCGAACTCGTTGAAGTTCTCTGCCATCGGGGAGAAGTAGTGAGTCTTTGTCGAACACTCCTGCTCGTATCTTGTTGTTCAGTGTTGTGTTGCTAGGGTGCCCTAGTCTTTGATTCCATAACGATTCGTCAGCCCGATGTCCAGGTGATCTTCTGTACAGGTCGGAGTTGGAGTAAAAAGTCGCGATGGTGTTGGCGCTTCTGTGGAGTTTGCGTGGAGTGGAAGTTAGCTTCTGGGCTGGAGTCGGTGGAGAGTCATCGGTGGGAACTGATGCTGTCGAAGGACCAGCGATTGGTGTTGTCTTCGCTTCTGCCGCTGTTGACTGTTTTTCTGTCGGTGTTGCCTCTGCTTCTGCCGGTGGTGTCTCTGCTTCTGCCGGTGTTGTCTTTGCTTCTGTCGTTGTTGCTAACGCTCTTGTGCGCTCTACTTCAGGAATGGTGTGCGAGTACCTGAATCCTCCGCGGCTGAAGTCGGGATCGAGATCTGGTGGGTGCGACCAGGTGGTGAAGTTAAAGATTGCGTCGCTGTCAGCAGTACCTTGATCTGGAATGAAGTCGAGGACGAAGACGTTATTCTTCAGGACTTCCTTCCCGATGTAGAGTCCGCCCATTCCATTGTAAAGCTTAAACTCCTGCGTGGTGGTGTCAGCTTCAAGGTGGATTCCTTTCGCCATGAGTTGACTGGCGCTAAGTAAGTTGTAGCCGAGTCCTTTTGCGATCAACAGTTTCGACATTTGCAGGATAACGTTAGTCTCTCAAGATTGAAGTTGAACCACCCCTTGTCGTCATGTGTGCAGGTTCTGATTGTTGGCGACGGTGATGACAACTTCGCGGTTGAGACGTTGTTCTTGTTGGACGAAGCAACCTGAAGAGCACATGTGTTGTCTGCAGTAGCTGTCCAAGAACCAAGTATCTTTCCCGGATGGTTCGCTTTGGCCGATGGCTGCGTACGTAGTATTTGGCTCCAGTGACTCGCGACGAGCCGTACTCTTGTCGAGCTGTTCTTCGGGTGAGTAGTCTGGTGGTGAGCCGGTGATACAGGAGTCCATTGTTCTTGTCATGCAGCTTATGATATTTCTTGTTCCTTTTGCAGGTTGTGATGTTGTCGTTGAAGACGACGCCTGGTTGGAAGGATGCTGTTGTCTGGAAGCCACTTTACTGCTTGAGGGTCGGAGCTGGCATGGTGGTGTCGATTGCTGTTGATTCGACAGTGAACATGAGAATGTCTTGACGTTTTGCAAAGGTGACAGAACGGTGGTATGTATCTCCGTGCCTGGTGTTCGTGTTGTCGGTTGTTATTGTTGCGCCGTTGAGTGTGAAACGCAAACTCCGGTACTGATGCCTTTTTCTTGTGTCGTTCTTCGTGCAGGTCCATGTCTTGTTGCTCAGCATGGATTTCGGCGCAAAGGGCTGCTTCAGAGATTCTTGCATGAGCTCGGAGGATGGCTCGGGTGAAGCGCCACTGAGGACCGAGACCAGTGATGATGACAGTGACGAACGCTTCTTCGGATATTGACCTGCCGCATCAAAGGAGTCTGTCGCGTAGACCGCGGCAGCGACTGATATATGCCATTCCCTTTTCTCCGGGTTGCATCTGCACTTTTGTCAGTTGTGCCATGAGACAACTCTGTTTGACGCCGTCGGTTGCTTGATACAGGTTCTTCAAGTGGTTGTACGCGAGCTCGACAGAGTTGCTGTATCCACAATAAGACCGGATGTTCTGCTGCTCGTTTGGCGCTATGTTTCGCATAGGTATGGTGTACGCCATTAGCGACTGATACGTGTACTGCTGCTTGTCGTACTGTGTCCCGTGTGTTAGGTATGGCAGGGAACCGTCGAAAAATCCAAGGATTTGAGCGCCCTCCATCATCAACTCGAACTCGAACGACCAGGTATAAAAATCCTTGCCCTCGAACGGTGTTAACGTTTGTAGTTTTAGAACCTGTGCAAACTGCAACTGTATATGAAGTGCATCCAGTGTCTTCTCTTGTCCAGATGGTGGCTGGTTTGGCATAAAGCTGATGGACTCGCGCTGAGGTTCATACGGTGCAAAGGTAAGCTGCTGCTGATTTCTGCGCATAAAAGATGAGCCGTCAAGACTCATGGGGGTAACGCCGTTGTTGTTGTCGCTGTTGTTTGATTGTGCAGGTGCTGCTTGCTGGTGTTGTTCGTAAACGACATGAAGGAGAAGAATTTCTCCATCATGTTTGGGTCGAAGCCGGTTGTTTGGTTCGCAGGAGTTTCTGTAGATTCGGCAGCTGGTCTTGTTGCCGTTACTCCCTCTATCTGCAGTCCAGAGGGTGGAGGTGGAGTAGGAGTAGTGCCGGGTGATCCGTTAGAGGAACTTCTCTCCTTCTGTGTTGCCATGTCTTGAGTTGTTGTAGGAAGTTGAACATATTTGAGTCTTGCCCTGTCTGCTCTCATACCATGTTGGGCTGAGAAAAGCCCTTAGGGTCGTTTCAAGGCTAAAGACTCGAGGTGATGAAGTAATTGCGGAAGTGTTGTAGTGAACTGGTTGAACCACCTTGCACTAGTGTGTGAGAGCAATATAGATTGATTATAGCAAAGTAATACAAGGCTTTATATGATTCCAAGGAATATGAAAAGACTTTAACTGTTGCTGTTGCTGTTGCTGTTGCGATTCGATACAGCTGCGACTCGGACAACTGCTCAGTAACAAGTCAGTTGTTTGTCCTTGCTGTCGCGCTGCCTTTCGGTGAGTCAAAGGTCGCCAACCTTTGACCTTTGCTTAACCTCCTTGCTGTTAAATTTTGTCAACCTCTTCAGTTGACTCGCCGTTGCTTCGCTGTAGTTCTCCTCGCTTACAGTTCAGTGTTTCGATACAGCTGAGGCATAAATTACTTGTTTCCAACAAAAATGAATCTGAGGCCCTGCTATAGTACAATCAGTGGCTTCAAGGAGAGCAGCTAATAGAGCGCAGCGAAGCAACTTCTCCACTTGTCGTCCTGCAGTGAACCCATTCAGGGCAAGGCAACAAAACAAGAAAACAGATCACTCGAAGCTAAAGCGTAACTTGATGACAACAAACCGAGGAAACTGGGTAAGGACAACGCAAGCAAGAAAGCTGCACATGTTAGCACAAACACCAGTGAAATGGAATACGGCAGCTATCAGCATGTAACACTCACGCAGCAGTGGTAACATTGTTGCCGGGGTGAGACCACCCTGTGGCGCGGCCATAGCAGTCAGCCCCGTTCCAGAACCACATGAGTCCACACACGGCTCTGCTACCCGTGGCGCCATCAGGCGCATCCCAGAGGATCTTCAGCGACCCCACCGCCCCCGCCATGGGCGCCGGCACATTCACACAGCCGGCGGGGCGGGGGGCACCGGGCGGGGGTGCTCGGAGGATGGTGGGGGCGAGGGAGGAGGGCGAGTTGGTGAAGGAGTGGCGGTTGAAGAGAGCGATGCTGGTGGTGACTGTGGTGGATGAGGCTGGAGACAGTTTGGTGCGAGGGGAATGGAGGAGAGGGAAGAAACAGAAGCTGGTTGAGGGGATAATTCATAATGGGGTGTTGGAAGTACCCATGTGTGTGTGATGAGAGCATTGTCAATGTGTTTGTAAATCTTTGAGGACTTTTAGAAAGTATGATCTAGTTCAGGTCACTTTTGTGTCAACTGAAGGGTTTCAGTTGGAAGCGTACTTTGAGTGCAGGCGCCGTTGATGAGCGACTGTGTGGCCGGGCAGGCACAGAAGGGGATGTCATTGCTGTCCGCCCTGCAGCGTGCTGAGGCCGGGCACTTCACTCCCTTGCAGGAGGGCGCTGGAGGGAGGAAAGGGAGAGAGGGGTGGAGGGGGTGAGGAAGAATCACAAGGGTGACGTAGGTCGCATAAGAAGCAAGAGTCACAAATTCACGAATCTTGTTAAGGCACCTCGACAACCTCTATCACTGAACCAGCACTCACCCAAGCATGTGTTGGGAGCGGTGGGCACGGTGCCCTGGGGGCACACACACTGCGCTGCTCCAGACGAGCCGTCACACACTAGGTCCCCTGCACACTTGCTTGCCCCCCTGCATGGGTCTGCATTGTGAGGGAGAAAAAAAGGGGTGTGAGGGTGGGGGAGAGCAAGAGCTTGTGTGCAGACGAATTTTTTCTTTTTGTTTTCGAATGGGGGGGAGAGGAGGTGGGTGAGGAGGGGGGGAAGTAGGAAAGGCGGGAAGGTTGAGTGAGGCACACACTGATACACGTGCCAACAAGCCACATACCACGCACCCTACACTCCCAACGTATGCCGGACACACGCCCAACACACGCCACGCGCCCCACATGCTCACCTGCTTGGCACTTGCCGTTGACGAGCGCCTGGCGTTGAGGGCACTGGCACGTGGGCTTGCCCCACACTGCCATGCAGGAGGCAGTGGAGGGGCAGAGCACTCGGAAGCGGGGGTCTTGCACTGCAGAGAGGGGACATTGGGGGGGGAGGATGGGGAGGGGAGGCAAAAGCAGGGAAACAAGAGAGCGCGTTGAGGAGAGAGAGCAAAGGCAAGACGGCAAGGGGGGGAGAGCAAGGGGGAGAGGGAAAAGGGGAGAGGGCAATGGGAAGAGGGCAAGGGGGAAAGGGCAGGGGGAGAGTGCAAGAGGGACAGGCCCTCATGGGTGTAAGGCATGAGCAGTGTAAGGCATGAACAGTGTAAGGCATGAACAGTGTAAGGCATGAGCAGTGTAAGGCATGAGCAGTGTAAGGCATGAGCAGTGTAAGGCATGAGCAGTGTAAAGCATGAGCAGTGTAAGGCATGTTGCAATGCGTACCATAAGGCAGCTGGCCAATGAGGTTACCCTGCGGTGAGTAGTGGCACGCCCACACGTCCCTGCTCGTGCCACACGACGCCTTGGCACACCCCAGCCTGCGCGTGTTGTTCCACACCCACCTGCACCCCCATGGCCATGCCCATGCGCCAGGCCACACCCACAAAGCACGAGGCGGCTGTGAGCACAAGGAACTCAGAATCAAATGAAATGAGAGATGCCACGTGCATGCAGGCGCAGGCATTGACACACCTGCACCCAGGCAATGAAGTGTTGTTAACGCCACTGCACGCCATTCACCTGCGTGTAGTGGCCACACTTGGCCCAATCACCGCCCGCACAGCCGTTGGGGAACACTCCGAGTTGGTACCACTTGCCCTCGTCCACCCACAACCGCACCGCATCGTCGTTCGACGCCCATCCGCTGGGGCCGGCACCCGACAGGTTCTGCCCCTCGCCGCTGTTGCCTCCGTGCTGCAGCCGGCAGTTGTGCTCCCTCGTTGTCAGGGTGAGCGCCCATGCCCTCGCCCTTGCCGCCACTGGGAGTAGGAGAGGCGGTAGGGGGAAGGGGAAGGGAGAGAAGGGAGAAGGAAGGAAACAAAGGGAGAAGGAAGGAGGAAGAGGAGAAGGGAATGAGGGAAATGAGACGTATGCATGGATTACACGTACCTACACCCACCCACGTACGCCATGGGACATGCATCCATTACTCGTCACCACCTAGATGCGCCATGCTACATGCATGCACCACCCATACCACGCACATACGCCATGCTACATGCAGCACCACCCATACCACGCACATACGCCATGCTACATGCATGCACCACCCATACCACGCACATGCGCCATGCTACATGCATGCACCACCCATACCACGCACATGCGCCATGCTGTATTCATGCAGCCCCTCGCCCCAGCAGCAGCACTCACGGGCATCGTCCCACACGAGGGGCACGGCGCCCACAGCGGCCCTGACGGCGTTGTGTTGGTCCAGGTAGTCCGAGTGGGCGAGAGTGGCGGCCGAGCACTGGTTGTTGACCAGCCGCTTGAAGGGTGCTGGACATTTGCACACCGCTGCACCATTCTGCACCGCGCACCTGGAGACGTCCGGGCACTTGACTCCGTAGCAGGGGTCTGGGGAGCTATGTGGGCATATACGCTCTGGACGGCGAGCGTCCGGCGTATGTACGCTAGCGTCCATACGCTGGACGCTGGACGCTCGCTGGACGTTGGACGCTCGCCCAAAAAATTTCCGGGCAGCCCGACGAAAAAAATCGCGCGACAAATTGAGACATGCGATTTCAGCGCGAATGTAATTTCGAAACAGATCTGGTTCAATATCGCCATAACAGAACCAGATCCAACAAATTGACCATGCAATTTCTCTTTTTACCGCATTTCACCCCTCCCAATCTAGCAAAGCCAACCCATCGTAAGTAGATCAACAAACTCGGCAGGCACAGATCCCAGCCAGAGTTAGTCGACGATTAGGTTTCACTAACTCACCTACGACCAGATTATTCGTAACAGCTAGCTCACCTAGACTTGCGTTTATGCTGACGAAATTCGCCTTTATGGCATCCGTTTAGAGAACTCCTTCAATCAAGCATACCATCTAATTCCAGCATAAATAACGTTTACCATCGGGATTCCATGGCAGAATCCTTGTGGCGCTCCCTTTTCCCCTCTTCCCCCCTCCCCCCGCTTTTTTCCACCCTGCCCGAAAAAAAGTTTTTAGCCTGCCCGACCCAAGCGTCCAGGGCTGGTCATCAGAGCGTCCAGCGTATATACGCTAGCGTCTAGACGCTAGCGTATGGGACGCTGGACGCGTCCATGTCCACATAGCTAGGGAGGAGATGGGGAGGGAAACGTGGGAGGAACGAAAAGGGTTGGGAATTTGCACGCCACTGCACCGTTCTACACCACTCATCGCCGCGCACTTGGACAGCGGTAACCCTTCGCGCCGAAACATAAATCTGCAAAGGAAAACAGGAAAAGGGGGGGAAACTGGTAGCAAAAAAGGGGGGGAACGGGGGGCGGAAAGGGGGAAAGAAAATTGTATTCCTTTTATGCAACGAAGGGAGAGCGCGGGACCGGATGCAGCGAGTCAATTAAGCGGGTGATTCATGGTGCAACCACCTGGCGTTGTTGCAACCACCTGGCGTTGTTGCAACCACCTGGCGTTGTTGCAACCACCTGGCGTTGTTGCAACCACCTGGCGTTGTTGCAACCACCTGGCGTTGTTGCAACCACCTGGCGTTGTTGCAACCACCTGGCGTTGTTGCAACCACCTGGCGTTGTTGCAACCACCTGGCGTTGTTGCAACCACCTGGCGTTGTTGCAACCACCTGGCGTTGTTGCAACCACCTGGCGTTGTTGCAACCACCTGGCGTTGTTGCAACCACCTGGCGTTGTTGCAACCACCTGGCGTTGTTGCAACCACCTGGCGTTGTTGCAACCACCTGGCGTTGTTGCAACCACCTGGCGTTGTTGCAACCACCTGGCGTTGTTGCAACCACCTGGCGTTGTTGCAACCACCTGGCGTTGTTGCAACCACCTGGCGTTGTTGCAACCACCTGGCGTTGTTGCAACCACCTGGCGTTGTTGCAACCACCTGGCGTTGTTGCAACCACCTGGCGTTGTAGCAACCACCTGGCGTTGTTGCAACCACCTGGCGTTGTTGCAACCACCTGGCGTTGTTGCAACCACCTGGCGTTGTTGCAACCACCTGGCGTTGTTGCAACCACCTGGCGTTGTTGCAACCACCTGGCGTTGTTGCAACCACCTGGCGTTGTTGCAACCACCTGGCGTTGTTGCAACCACCTGGCGTTGTTGCAACCACCTGGCGTTGTTGCAACCACCTGGCGTTGTTGCAACCACCTAGCGTTGTTGCAACCACCTGGCGTTGTTGCAATCACCTGGCGTTGTTGCAACCACCTGGCGTTGTTGCAACCACCTAGCGTTGTTGCAACCACCTGGCGTTGTTGCAACCACCTGGCGTTGTTGCAACCACCTGAGCACGAGCACTTGGCGACGCCGGAAGAATCCGAGCAGGAGCAACCGTTCGGGCACGACACGAGCGAGCACGCGCCGCTGGCGGCCGCACCGCGCCATTGTTGCGCCGGGGCGCCTCTCCACCGACCGGCGCCTGCGGCGATGGCGGCGGATGCGGAAACGAGGTGGCGAGAGAGGAGGGTGGCGTGGAGGAGGGGAAGGAGGAGGAGGAAGAGAAGCGGGGTAGCGAGTGCTGTTCGCAGTATACGCGCCATCAGGCTATCAGTAGTAGCGCCGATCAGTGCGAGTTCGAGAAATTGAATGGAGCAACACCCTTTGCAAATGGTGAGTGGCGATTCGCGAATTTAGCCAGGCGAGACTGGCTGGTGGATGGCTGCGGTTGTAACTAGGCGAGGATAGATACGGGTACGAATGCGAGGGTGGCTGCTCTTTAAACGAGCACAGGCGGACCAAGCCATGGCGCACGCGACGCGAGCTAAGTGAGCTTCGTGTGAACGAAACGAGACGGGCGGCGAAACCGGATCGCCTCTGACCGTCCAAACGTGGCTTGCAAGTTGGGACTCTCGACGCACACGAAAGCGGGTTACGGCTAATCGGAAAAAGGTCGGACCCGCGAATCGGTGGTGGATCTCTGAACTCGCGGCGACTGCGCCGTAGTACGAGTGATAAGAAATGAGGAATGAAATGACTAAGGGAAAAGTTGGGTACAAGTACAAACCCTAGAAATGTGTTGTACCCCATATGTGCTACCCCACTATAGCCTACATAGGCTAAGTCATATAAGTCTGACACACCCCGATAGGCAAAGTGGGGGAGAACAAGGGGTCACAAGACCAGTCAAGCAAAGCAAAGGAAGCTCAGGGTGGATCACAACGTCACCACACAGTCCGAGCACAAGAGCATGGCCACAAGGCCAGTTCACATGCAAGATCATATATAAAGGTAAACAAGCAAGTGCAGGTATAGAAAGATCACAGTACAAGCAAGGTCAAGAAGTGAGCAAGTGAGGCCAAGTAGGCACAAGACCTAGCATCGTACAGAAGCGCTGATGATCACAAGGCGGAAGTGCCTTGGTAAAGATATCAGCAGTGTTGGCCTCAGAGGCCACGTAAGCAAGGCGCAGCTGACCACGCTGCTGCAGCTCACGAGCAAGGAAGTAGCGAAGAGCAATGTGCTTTGTTCTGTGCTCCAGTCTGTGCTCCCGACACAAGGCCAGCATGGCCTTGTTGTCTACGTACAGAACTGGAGGAGAACGAGGCGGCTCTCCTAGGTCAGTCAGCAGGTAGGTGAGCCAGCGTAGCTACTGTGCAGCCATGGCCCCCGCGTAGATCTCAGCCTCACAGCTGGAGCCGAGAACAGAAGACGAGCGGGTAGACCGCCACGAAACAGAGCCGGAGCCAAGGCTGAAGGTGTAACCCTGTGACGACCGCTGCGTAGCCTGGTCGTCAGCCCAAGAAGCGTCTGCGTGACCTGTGAGGACCACTCGACGTCGCCCTCCAAGCACTAGCCCCATGCCCGACGTACTGCACAAGTAGCGCAACACCCTCTTCGCTGCAGCCATGTGCTCTGGTCGGTGTCTCCCAGGAGCAACATAGCGTGCCAAGATGCTAAGAGGGTATGCGAGGTCAGGTCGTGTGCAGGTCATCAGGTACATGAGGCAGCCAACAAGCTCTGGGTACGGGCCACTCGGCTCTACGGACTCATCTGAAGGCAGAGCTGAGAGCGAGTGGCGAGTAGACAGAGGAGTGGCTTGAGGCGAGGAGTACGTGAAGTCGAAGCGCTGAAGGACCTGCTGCACCATGTGTGACTGAGTCAGGGTAATGGTGCGCTGTGCTCTGTCCCGGGTGATCTGCAAGCCAAGGTAGCTGCGCAGTTCACCCAGGTCTGTGCACGTGTGTCTCTTCTGCAGCTCGGACTTCACGTGGGCGAGTCCAGCAGTGTCAGCAGTGGCAAAGACCAAGTCGTCGACGTACACGAGGATGTAGAACGGCGGCAAAGAGGTGTCGGTGCGCAGAAACAGCGACGGGTCGGCAGTAGAAGGAGCAAACCCAAGAGCCGCAAGTGTAGTCCTCAGTGTGTCGTGCCACTCACGGGGCGCCTGGCGGAGACCGTAGACTGGCCGCCGGAGGCTCCACTGGGTACCAGGAGGAAACGACCCAGTGAAGCCAGGTGGGCGGCGCAGCCAGATCTCCTCGTGCAGGCTGCCCTGCAGGAAAGCTGTGCTGAAGTCAAGAGAGTGAAGCTCGTAGTCGCGCTGAGCGGCTATGTGCAGCAGCACCCGAAGAGTGGTCATCTTCGGGGTGGGAGAGAAGGTCTGAAAGTTGTCAACTCCCTGTCGCTGACTGAAGCCTCGAGCCACGTAACGCGCCTTGAAGACAGGCGGAGAACCCGGCGGCCGCTTCACCCTGAAAATCCACATGCCACTGACGATGTTCGCCCCAGGTGGGGGAACCTCGTCGACGTAGGTGCCTGTGGACTTCCAGGAAGCCATCTCTGTATTCATGGCTGACTGCCACTGAGAGGAGTAGGGACCCTCGATCGCCTCAGCGTACGATCGAGGAGTCGGGATGTCTGGTGCATCCGGGTCTCCCTCAGGGGCAATCAGCGTGGACACGAGATGAGGCAAAGCAGCAGCAAAACACTGGAACTCCTCCTGCCTGTCCTCACAGACGTCCGTGCTAAGAGCACACTCACCCCCGACGGACGGAGGACAGACAGACTCAGACTCAGCAACAAGACTAGTGGCGTAGTCTAGACGACAGCGAGCTGCAAAGTCGACAAGCTCAGCAACCAAGGCTGACGCAGCAGTGGACTCAAAGGAAGGGTCAGTGACAACAGTAGCCAGGAGACGCGTGACAGTAGGACTGGCAGCACGAAGAGAGTCAGACTCCGGGTCAGCAAGGACAGGAAGAGAGGACTCTGGAGGAGACGGCAACGGGACACGCAGAGGAGCAGTAGACGGACGCAGTGCCATCTGGTGTGTGCCTGGGACCGCAGGAGGACGCGGACGCGGAGCACGACCACTAGTGCGAGCAGCACGAACAGGCGACGCAGGACGAGACGCAGGCTCACGACGCTCAGTAAGACCTCCAGTAGGACCTGTGTAGGGAGAAGGAGCAGGTAGCGGGGAGGCGGGCTGTAACTGTAACCGCGACTGGACAGGCTGTGGACCCTCTAAGGGAGGAGCAGGACCAGTAGAGGGCGGGAGACCAAGAACCTGCTCAAGGAGCGGAACGAAGTACGGCCTCGGCCGCGCAGCGCCTTCAGAACCAGCAGGGACAGCACCAGTACCCCCAGCGGCAGCACCAGCGCCAGCAGCACCTCCAGCTCCAACAGCGCCAACTCCAGCACCCTCAAAAGCACCAGCGCCAGCAGCACCACCAGCGCCAACACCCCCAGCAGCTCCAGCTCCAGCAGCTCCAGCAGCACCCACTCCAGCAGGACCGTCAGCTCCAGTACCGCCAGCAAGACTAACACCAGCAGCCCCAGCAGCACCCCCAGTCCCAGCAGCTCCAGTACCACTAGTACGAGCACCTCCAGGACCAGCAGCAACAGTAGTACCTCCAGCTCCAGCAGCACGGCTCCAGCGCCGGGCAAACCACTCGCGCAGCTCCTGCGGAGAGAGTAGC